TCCCCAGTATTTTTTGCCAAAACACGGTTTTTCCAGCGTTTTCGCAAAGAGGACGTCCAAAAACACAGAGTTGTTCCAGATTTTCGGCAAAAGGATGCAGGAAGCCCAAGCGGGAAGGTGGTCGTTTTTGAACGCGTGTTTTGGCTCGTTTTTGAACGCGTGTTTTGGCTCGTTTTTGAACGCGGTTTTCCTCAAGTGTATGTGATTTACAGCAGCACGGCCATTTTTCCAAGTGTCCATGCACACCACGATGAGGCGCACGAACACGCACCACGATGCACGTGTAGCACATGGATGGCGCCGTGCTTTTGGGAGACAATCGTCAACTGTAGACCCGGGAACACAAATCACAAGGAACGCAAAGCGACATCATCATCGTCATCATCATCATCATTATCATCAACATCGACATCGTCAACATCATCATCACCATCACCATCATCATCATCACCATCATCATCATCAACATCGTCATCATCACTACCAGCAACATCACCTTCATCCACATCAACACCAACATCATCATCGCCATCATCAACATCACCACCAACATCCATATGGGTCTGTGTTTTTTACTGTGTCAGTTCTTTAGTCTTCGTGGGAGGTGGGGCTTGGGCGAGCCATACCCCCGAATCATACCCCGAACCATACCCCCGAGCCACACCCCGAGTCATACCCCTTAAAAAACACAAAAAAAAGAACTTGCAAGAACTGTGGCATTTGCATGTGATCCATGGATAGCTGGAAGCTATAGGGGGTTCAACTTTAAGTGAAGAAGGGGGTCTTGTCAAGAAACAGTGTTAGAGAGCTTGACATGTGGACCGATGCCAGGAGGTAGGGACTCCGAGGTACTACCTGGTTCACTTGCGGTTCCTGGATCTATTCTAGTCTGCAATGCTTGCATGGTTGGCCTCTGATGTCATGGGGCCAAGTACAGTTGACATGTCCACTCACACACTCACTGGTTACTCGCGGGGGGCCATTTTGGCTCAAGTGGTGTTCCTTGACCACCTCGGTCTCGGCTTGGAAAGTGCCAATGGATGGAGTTATAGAGCAATCCTGCGGATGTCTGGTACTAGAGTTGTCTGTAAGCATCTGTGGCGCTGTGGCGGGGGGGTGCAGCTTGACGTAAGACGCTGAGACTTGTAGGGTGCTGTGGCGGGGGGTGCCGCTGCTGAGCTTGAAACTTGGAGCTTGCTTCCTGCAATCTGTCCGACGCGGTGGAAACAGCTGTCTGTCCTGGGACACTGTCGCAGTGAAACACAAGCTGTCTTTGTGCTCCTGGGGTACTCTTGGTGTCTTTCCGGTCGAAAAAGACTTTCCCCCGATTCACACCCCCGATTCATACCCGATTCATACCCCGATTCATACCCTTCTGCTGCCATTTGCAGCCAAAAGCCTCTTGCGCTCTGGGCAGCACTAGCAAAGCTATGCCGCCCAAATCCTCAGAAGACACAAAACTCAAAGAGAAGCACTGCAGGAACCAGCTCGCGGCTCTTTTCGCAGAAGTTCGCCAGAAGGTGGGTTCGGAAGGCTTACTGCGATGTATCAAGCGCGACACGGTACACCACCTGTGAGAGACCCACTGCGCGGCTGCCGTTTGAGGATGTCACGGTGTCTTGCCCTTACGCTGGTTCGTGACTGGTGCGGGTGGCGGGCCTGACTGGGCAGCGGCGCTTCCCCTTAAGCAACGCTTGCTTGGGTCTGTGAGCACGCGGGTCGCTTGAACCCCAAGTGGAGGTGGCAATGACGTTCGCCTCAGGCAGTGGCTGTGCGCCTTCCACCTAGCGCAGCAGCTTTCGCTAACCCACTCAGGCAGAGTGGCAGCTGTCTAGTTCAGGCCACTCACAAGCGCCCCAGGCTGGCTTGTAGCAACTAAGCGGTCCAAATTCTCACGGCTATCCAGTTGCTAGCGCACGGGAGCTTTGCAGTGTCCAAAGCCAAAGCAAGAGTTCAGAGGCGCGCGAGCCATACCCCGAATCATACCCCCGAGCCATACCCCGAACCATACCTGCGATTCATACCCCTTATACCAACCTCCCGGCACGGCCACGTCAAAAAAACACATACCCATATCATCATCATCATCATCAACAACACCATCAACATGACCATCATCACCATCATTATCACCATCATCATCATCATCACCAACAACATCAACATCCTCAACATCGTCAACATCAACATCATCACCATCATCATCATTAACAACATCATCACCATTATCAGCATCAACGTCGACATCACCATCATCATCAACAACATCATCAGCATCATCAACATCGTCATAATCATCATCATCATCATCATCATCACCATCATCATCACCATGACCATCATCAACACCGTCATCATCACTACCAACAACACCACCATCACCACCAGCGCGCAGTCGCACGGTCACGCAGTAAGAGGCGAACGTAACTGCCCCACCCCATCCCCCCCCCCCAGCCGCAGGACGCAGTCGCACGGTCAGGCAGCAAGAAGCAAACGCAACTGCCCCACCCCACCCCCCACCCAGCCCCAAAACGCAGTTGCGCCGCCACGCAGTAAGCGGCGATCGCGCAATTCCAGGAGGCTCCGACTCGATTCGCAAGTTACTTAGGCCGTATGAGCTAAGGAGTTTTTGTGTCGACAGGACAAGATAACTCAGAGCTTGAAATTTCACGAGTTTTCTTTTTTTTTCACGGAGTAGTAACAGTTCAGTTTCCGAGTTATTACGGCCGTTAGGTTAGAGTTTTTACGGCTTTACGGGGGGGGGCCAACGAGCGCAAATCGCCGATCTGAGCTGAAAAAAAAAGCCAAGGTAACTTGGGACTCGGGGCCCCCTTTTCCCAGTCCCAGGGCGCAGTTGCACGGGCACGCAGTAAGAGGCGAACGTAACTGCCCCGCCCCACCCCCCCCCCCAGCCCCAATACGCAGTTCCACCGTCACGCAGTCAGCGATCGCAATTACCCCCTTCCCCCAGCCCCAGGATGCAGTCGCACGGTCACGCAGTAAGAGGCGAACGGAACTGCCCCACCCCACCCCCACCCCCACCCCCAGGACGCAGTGGCACGGTCACGCAGTAAGAGGCAAACGTAACTGCCCCACCTGCCGCAGGATAGCCCCCCATGTGTTCGAAAATGACCCACTCTGTGTTCGAAAATGATCCAGGACACCGGTGTTCGAAAATGATCCAAAATCGGTGTTCGAAAATGATCCCCCTCCCGCCCAAGCCAGCAAAAAAGCCGGCAGGGGGAATCGAGCCTGGGAGGGGGTGACGACCTAAAAACCCTGCGTAATTGACGTGTCCCGGGGGGGGACTAAGGGGGGGGTTATCCTCTATCCTCTCTTAGGTATCCGACACGCCGAACAATGTCGGCGGATATATACATATATACATATATGTGTCCTGAGTGTGTGTTTGCTGCGTGCGTGAGTGTGGGTGTGGGTGTGGGTGTGAGTGTGAAGGTGAGTGTCTGTGTTGTGTGTGGTGTGTGTGCGTGTAGTGTGTGTGTGTGTGTATGGACAAATGTATGCATATGTGGGGGTTGATCAAAAGGTCTTTGCAAGGAGTTATGTATTCGGTGACCATTCGTTTTGGCTCAAATCCCTCCGCGAAAGATCGGCGATGGAGTTCGCGAACGAAACTTTTTTTAAGATTCGCGAAAGATTTTTTTTCTCGCGAAGATGGCGTTTTCCGGAAACAGGAATATTGATAAGTTGCCATGCGTGTATAAGTGTGTATTCTCAATGTCTGTGTGTGTGTGCTCTAGATGCAGCGCCGCTTCCCAGCTAACGACCTCAAACCCTGCGTCTCGCTCTAGTTGTCGGAAAGAAAAGTTGACGCAAACCACGCGCAGTGCGTTCAGCAGGACTTGCTTCTCACATGCCGACATGTCAACGCAGCACCCAGCAGCCCAGAATGATCCGAGAGGGAGCTAACTTTCGCTGTTGTACTCAGGCCACATAGCTCGAGGCAGCCAAATCCCAACAGATATTTGATGTATGTGTCTTGGCTGCATTGAGGGCACCGAACTCGGATTGCAGCCCTTTGTGTTTGTTCTGTGAAGTTCTGTGAAGTTCTGTGTATGGCCTGGTCAATGAAGGTTGGACAAACGGCAGGTCAGCATATTTGCACTAGCTGCGTCCAACAATTCAGCAGTTGCCATGCGAGAGAGCGAGTCCAAGGCTTCTTAACAATGGACGGAACGGGCTTCGTGCTGCAAGTGCTGCAGTGTCGAATGTCCTGGGGCAGAGATGGCGCTGTTGAAAGCGTTGAACAACAATACAGTGTGAACAGATATCGATGCAGCACCTGAAAGGAATCCATGAGTAGAAAGCGGATATAGGCCCTTGTGTTGAAGTGTAGAAAAGCCAGTGCAAGCAACTAGCAGTGCTCAACATAGAACTTCAACATTGTAGACGAGCCAGCAAGAGGCAAAGAGACTCATAACTCTGATCTCACCACAGCAGAGCTTTAGCGGCAAGCCAGGCCGGGACAGCCTTTTCGATACGGATGGATAGCAACAGTTGGTGCTGCATTTCTCGAATAAAAGTAGACACCGAATGTTTGCTGGCATCCTGCACTGGCTGGTCGCAAAAAGCAATATTTGTTGCATCGTTGTCCTCACATGTCGTGTGAATGCACGCATACCCAGTATACACATGTTGGCTGAATTGCACAGCCAAATAAGTAATACCATGCTACAGATATATGAAGTTGTTTGATTTAAGAGGATCACGATGCTGGCCCACAAAGTGCGGTCAAGAACGGGTCAAGACCTGATATTCTTTGGTGGCTTTGCGGCCTGAAATCTTGCTCGACCCAACTTAACGCCTTCCATGCAGCTGTTCGATGAAATGTCACGGCCGCAGGAAGTTTCAGGAGACTTGCCGCAGCAAGAACAAAGGCGTGCAATGGCTGCACTGTGTTGCAGATTGCTACAACTCACTGCATGGCCTAGACTTCCCACGGCATTTGGTTGGCGCACATTGCTTTCACTGCTGGCAACAGTTGGCTCAATTGGGTGGGTTGACTGGAGATAACTCGGCCCTTGTCAACCAACCCCGTGCACGCAGAGTCTGAGGCTGGAAGTGCATACTCCTTGTTCATAGCCCTGGGCTTCCCCAACCCACTTCATAAGAGTATGTACTCCCTTTGGGGGAAGGGATATGGCCATCAGCGAGCCTTTCGGGGTCATTTTTGGGCGATGTACCCCTAGACAGAGGTCTGTTTTTTTTTGCATTTGACAAAACAATTGCTGCTTGAGTGCGTGCCAGGTGGCATCACTCCGAACATTCGCCGCCGCCATGTCATCATGTAAAGGCGCGTTTCCTACTTGTATCACCAATCCTGATCGTGAATCTGCTGCGCATGCCGCAGATCCACCAATCGGTGGAAATGAGATGGCTGGCCTGCGGGCTTTTCTCCGGAGCCCCAACCTTAGCGATAGCTGCATTCTTAGTTCTTGCACTTTCACATGCGACCTGAGGTCGATGTGGAAGCCTCAAGGCACAGTTGGGGAAGTGTGAGTAGCGTGCAGTTGCCCGCAGCCAACAATGTGTGCCGCAAATTCGCAGATCGTACCTCAAATCACATTACTCTATTGCCCGCTGGATGCCCGCGTGCCCGTGTTCACTATTGAAGGGCAATAGCCATGACGCATGTCACAGGTCCTGTGATGCCCTCATCATATTCGCAGGCTGCTTTTGCTGAGCTGGACTGCCACAATGTAGGGCAGCTGACCAGTGATGACTTCGTGAAGGTTCGCAATTGCTTGCGTTCTCAGATTTGTCTCCTGGCCAAGAGCACCGGCTGTGTGATCTTGGTGTGGCCCAGGGATTGCAGCGGTTTGGCTATGCTGAGGAGTGAGAGCAGCGTCACGCGAGTGATGTGATGTTAGCAGAGTTTGCTTGCCCAGATGGACCAGGATGCCAGCACCATTTTTCGCTCCATTGATGCCGCTAAAAGCGGGACAGTGACCATGAAGCATCTTGGGCAAAAGTGTGTATCACTTGCATGTCAATGTCATTCCGTTATCTATTGTCACAAGCGTGCATTTTCTTGTGGGTTGGTGCCTTGCACTCAGGAGCTTCATGAGTTGCCTTGGTGATCGAATGGTGGAAGCCATAGATGCTGACAGGCCAGGTCGACTTACATGTGTATGTGTGTGTGTGTGCGTGTGCACATAATATGACCAGTGTGATACTCTTTTGAACTAGACTTGCGTTCGTTGCGGCCGGATTCAGCTTTGCGATCATATTTGCATTGAACTGGCCTGGCTCGGGGTATTTGCCATGCTTATCATGTGTGGCAGTTGGGGATGTGCTGTGTGAGCGAGGCGATCAATGGTAAAGCCACTGGCACGAAGTGCAAGCGAAGATGTGAGGAAAAGCGCGAGAATACCAAAGACCGACCGGGCCAGGGTGCTGATCCGCTCGGTTTTCGGATGGTGCATGTCAATTTGTGCGATTTGCTCATTGCAAAGAGAGAACCTAGCATTGTTTGTGAATTATTATTATTATTTCAGATGCATCGTCTCACATTTTTTTACACATGTATACCGCAAATGTATGGAGTCGGGCAGCGGCACAAATGAGTCGGAAAAAAAAAAAAAAAAAACGTTATTGTCCCAATGTAAGGCATGATCCCAGGTCTTTTGGACCTATCAAATTAGCTGCACCGCCGCTTGTAATTTGAATGGCAGGAGTGTGTTGCAGGAGCGGCCGCGCAAGTCAAACATGGGGCCGCGCAAGTAAAGCGCAAGTGAAGCGCAAGTGACGCAGTGATGATGCATCATCATCATCATCATCATCATCATCATCATCATCATCATCATCATCATCATCATCCGCATGGTCGAAAGAATCCGGAAGATTGCTAAATTTTCGCGCAAGTCGCGCGCAAGTCGCGCGCAAGTCGCGCGCAAGTCGTAGATGCCTTGGATCAGGAGTGGCCCATTTCTGTAGTTTGCATTTTCTTTGTTTCTGCAGATCCCAGCAATGAGTTGCAGCAGCCAGCAGCAGCAGCAGCAGCAGCCAGCAGCAGCAGCCGCAGCAGCAGCAGCCAGCAGCAGCCGCAGCAGCCAGCAGCAGCAGCAGCAGCCAGCAGCAGCCAGCAGCCAGCAGCAGCAGCCAGCAGCAGCAGCAGCAGCAGCCAGCAGCAGCAGCCGCAGCAGCAGCCGCAGCAGCAGCAGCCGCAGCAGCAGCCAGCAGCAGCAGCAGCAGCCAGCAGCAGCAGCCAGCAACAATTTGCAGCGGTGTACACACCTGAGACCTCATACACTTAAGGGGCATGTTTTTGGGGGACCTCACTCGTATGAAGACCGCCGCTTGGATTTGCAATGAAAACATCCTGGGATAAGAGTTTTAATACGGTTTTTTTTCCAGCTCAATGTGATTTGGAGCCCTTTCGATGGCGTTGCGCAGCTCTTGCGCAGGATCGGTGCTCCAAATTTGTTGACCAGCGTTGCTCTTGGTGGTGCCTTGAAGCCGCCTGGCAAGCTGTAAGCTGCCAACCAGGCACTGCATTCCCAGAAAGAGTCACAATATGATATGGAGTTAATGGAATGAAGTGACCTGCATTCCAACCGACACATGTGGGGGGAGATGGACGTGCATGATGTATGCTAGAGTACCGAGGAGTGGATCTGCCTTACGCAGCTCTACACCGGATGACGCAGGCTTGCGCAGCAGCAAAATGACCCAAAATGCCCAAAATGAGAATGTTAGTTGACTTTGCTTTGTTCCAGTTGTGAGCTTGTGAGCGTGGGTAAGGCTTAGGGTTTAGGCCCGTTTTACGTTGTCCTGCTTGGAGTTTGGATTGCAGGTGGGCGCTGAAAAAAATGCCTTGTCCTTTGAGAAGGCATAAAGGGTGTTTTTTTGACTACGGTGCGATGTGTGTTTGTTCCCTTATCGGAATGTCAGGCTTAATGCGCACCTCACCGCACATGCCAGCAGCAGATGCAGATTTGCCACGCGCTGAATTTAGCGTTTGACGTAGGGCGTGATGCAGCAACTATGCCCAAATCCTTGATGCTCTAGGACAGTTGCTCGTACGACCAAAGACAGCAATGGCGTTAACTAAAGTCAGGTTGAGGAGGACTCTTGCAGAAATTGGATCCTTGCTAGGCATAGCGTTTGAGATGAGACGCCAAGGCTGTTTGCCCGCATCTCCAAAGTTGAAGAGCAGGAGCTTGGCTGCAAACGCAAGGGTAAGCTGAGAGTTCCAGGGTTGGAGTAAGACGTACAGAGGTTGCAAATTACTTTGGATGTATTTCAGAGTAGTCTGCAGACTGAATGGTCTCTGCAAATAGGCCCGTTTGTTGGTGGCGGTTCGAAAAGTGAGCCAAGCAGAAGCAACCAAGCAAGTACTGAATGTTGGAGGGCGTCCGGATTGGAGAAGCATCCACGTTTGTCGAGTTATGGATCGGCATTGCCATGATGGGTCCACATGCGTTTTGTCAAGATCGAAGAAAGGGCACTGCGGATTCCTTGACATTGTCTTACCATCAAGGGGGCCATGCCTGCTTTTGCTTATGTGTTTCAATCAATTTGGCCGCCACCTGAATATCTTCTACGCCCGTTCATGACCTGGAACCGCTGGACAGCCAACATCTTTGAGAGCAGCTTCGCGCCAAGGTTGCAGCCCAGCAACGCTTGCGCTCTGAGACTGAGCAGAAGCTTACGCAGCATTTGAACAGCCTGGTACTTGTAGGCAGGGCAGCATGAGGGCAGCACCCTTTAGTTGTTTGCGGCGGTGCCGCAACCCGAGAAATGAGTTGCATCCGCGGAACCGAACACTGTCAACACCAGGTTTTTGTCGCAGGCCACGGTGACCTCAAAACAGAAGCTGGTGCGATCGCTTCCTGCCCCATGGTTCGCTGCAGAGTCCGGGTCTTCCGGCATGAGCTGCCCTCCTTGTGGACCAAACTAGTTCAATCACGTGTGCTGTTATTGGCATTTTCTTTTCAGCTATTTTGGCTATTTTTTGGTTCTGTTCTTGTTTATTGGGCTTTGAACCTACAACTCAACCATGCGGTTTGCTCCTGCATCCGCTTTCGTTGGGAAAATCATCACCCTGACATGGTCCCAACTGCTCATGGCCCCAGCCTTGTCCACATCCACGTCCTTCCAGGTGTCAGCATGTCAGAGCAGCTGGATGTGATCCGTGAGCAATTAGCTGAAGAGCGCGCACAGCGCCAGGCCACCAGTGCAGCTGGTAGGGTCAAGTGGGTGCATGCCTTTCAGTTGGAGCAAGTTGCGCCCGTTGCATAGTGGAGTGATTTCATGTCGAGCAATGCTGGACCTGCTTGGTTGGCATAGGCGCGTCATTGTGAAATTCCTTTTCTGTTTCGAACATACCTGGCATGGTGATGGGGTCAACATGTGCAGAAGTTAGTCTGTGGCCTTTGGAGGGACATGGGGGGTTACTACAGTTCCACTGAAGAAAAGGGGACTCGCTTATGTTTCCTTTTTGGCTTCCCTTGAGAGGGAGCAGGCTCGTGTTTTTTGAGCACATTGTGCCCAAGCCTGGGTTTTGGGCACAAACCCTTAGCGCCCGTTGCTAGCCAATTTTTTTGCGACAAACAACAGCCATTGTGAGGGAGAATGACAAGAATTCATTTCTACCGAATCAACCTGGATTCGACATACAAAAATACATTAATACATTTGCTGTTGAGTTTCGAACCATGGTAGGGTGAACTCGGTCGGCCCAAACCTTTTAACTCACATCGGAAATAGCTGGCGGCCGGCCAGAGAGTGGGCAATCCGCCATCAGGTGGACGTCACAGGCTTGCGTGCCTCTGTAGAGGCACTGAGGCCTGGTAGATGTCCTGCCATTGGATCGCTATTGTGTTTTGTGAGTGCACCCGGAACTCGGGAACTCTGGAGAGTGACTCTGTGTATAGAATATACAGTATCAAGACATACATTGCTAAGCCGCTAAGCTCATTAACAATTACTATTGTTTCTCAAGCGCCTCTGGATGCTTTGGTGCGCTTTGGTGCATCGCTCCCCGCAGTAGAACTGAGTGCAGGTCATTGGCACTGCGCTCCGTGCAGGAGAATCTCGAGGAGTGCCGCGGCCAGGATTCTGAGCGGGCTTTGAGTATTTGTGAAGCCACCACTTAGCAAAAGGAGCCCACCAAAGGGTCCAGGCTTCGACTTGACATTTTGTCATGCAGCACACTGTCTAACAATCTAACAGCGTCACATAGGAGTTTAACAAATTTTGAAGAAATACGGAGTTGGGGAGTTGATCAAAAGGTCCTTGTAAGGACTTATAGTGTGGAGACAGGGAGCTGCGCAGCACCTTTACTTGTGTCCTTAGCTCTTTGCCAGTGCTAGGAATGGTGCAAAGCAACACATTGGCTGGGCTATTATTGAGCAAGTGTGGCGAAAGATACGCGAAAGACAGGCGAAAACCCGTGGAGCTTGTGGCAAGGCTTTGCGCATTGGGCCTGGGACGGAGCAGTCGTGGCAAGCGCAAGTGGAAAGGACGAATGATAGTGACTGCTTCGCTTCGCGTTGCCGGTTGAGAATCGTCCAATCGTTCGTCCGGATGGACCGCGAAATAGATGAGGAAGGGAGTGGACGCATCCTCCAGTGCAGCTTCAACAAGTTCAAAGCCAATGCGGGCAATCACAACATTTTTCTGCAAACCCTGCAAAGTCGTGTTTTCAATGTCCAATCTGCCCAAGCCGGTGAGAAAACATTTTGACTTTTGCTGGAGCGGAAGAGCGTGCGAGAAACATGAGCAGAGATCAGCAACGACTTGTGCCTCACAATTCAAATGAGCGCGGAAGGTTGCTGTGGAGGGGCGGCAGAAGGGCAAGTGTTGGCAAACGTCATTCCGAACAACCCCCGCGTCAACCAGGATTATGGTTTTGATAGTTTTATGTTTGTTTCAACTTGATAAGCGTTCTGCAACTTGTATTGCGAACGCCTTTCAGACTTGAAACCTTCGAGTCTCTACAGTCTGGCCTTGGTGCTCCCAGGTGCGTAAAGTCCGAAGTGGACAAGTCCATTGGCGAGGTCCGTGGGCTGCAGCCTCAGATTCAATAAGTTTTTACATGAACATTCAGCAGAATCAGAACACCTTTCGGGTCGTGGAGTTATTGTAGACATGCCGTTCAGCAAGGTGTTCAGACCAGGCAGGACTGACTGTTTGACCAGCAGTGGCTGTCCTAGGACCTTGGGGCAGAGCGGCAAGAGTCCTGAGCTGCAACAGAAGCTGGGTTGCCAAGTCAGCAGAGCACGATCCGATTTGACATGTAACTCATGATTCACCTAGTGATACCCAGAGAATTGGAGTTTCTTGCATGATGTGATGAGACCTGTTCACTGAACACAAGGTTGGACGTGCTCAGCAAAGCGACTGAGACTCGGTTAGCGGAGCTCGAGTCATCAGTTCGACATGCCACTCGGCGCATTTAGTCATGGTTTTGAAGTGCTTGGGAGCCTTGATCAATAGAGAAGATGAACTTCAGGCTCAGAGTCATTTGTGAAAGCCACAGTCAGCCTATTTTCATTTCAAGTGAGGTGTTAATTTACAATGGAGGGGTCTTTATTTTATTTTTTTCCCCACCCCCCCCCCCCCCCGTTTTTATTTTTGTTTTTTTTTGCGCTTTTTTGCTTCTTGGCTTTTCGGCTTTTCGGCTTCTTGTTGGGTTTACGTGGCTTTTGGTGGCTTTTTGGTTTTAGCTTTTTCGCATCCTTTGCATTCCCAGTTCAAACCAGGTAACGTTTGCAGCTTTTCGCTGGTTTATGCAGCTTTTGGTGGTTTTGGCTTTTCGCATCCTCTGCTTTCCCAGTTCCTCCAATTCATTGGTTTTGGCTTTGGCTTCCCGCATCCTCAGCATCACCAGTCCCTCCCTATGTGAATCATCACTTCTTCGAACATCATAGGGGGGGCTGCCCCCCCCTCAACCCCCCCCCCCTCCCCCCCGCAACTTTTTGGATTGTTTGATTGCACCCCCATTTGAATCTTCACTTCTTCAAACATCATGGGCGGGGGCTGCCGCCTCCCCCTTACCGCTACTTTTTAGATTTCTTGCAGAGATGCACCCCTATTTGGTTCATCACTTTTTCGAGCATCCATTTTCGCGAGAAAATGCTGTAAAATACAGCATGTTATGTAATCTATGTAATCTATGTATGCACTTCTTCGAACATCATAGGGGAAGCCACCCCCGCCAACCCTCCCGCTGCTCTTTATATTCTATCGCACCCTTTCTTGAATCATTGCACCCCTATTTGAATCATCACTTCTTCGAACATCCTGGGGGGGGGGGGGGCGGCACCCCAACACCCCCGCTATACTTTTTAGATTTTCTACACAGATTTAGTCGCCCCCAATTTTGAATCATCACTTCCTCGAACATCATGGGGGGGCTGCCGCCCCCCCAACCCCCCCCTACGTTTTAGACTTTTTGCAGAGATTTAATTGCACCCCTATGCGAATCATCACTTATGCGAACATCATGGGGGGCCTGCCGCCCCCCCCCAACCCCCTGCTACTTTTTAGATTTGAGTGAAATGCCCTCCTAGTTGAATCATCATTTGTTCGACCCGTCAACCCGCCAGCTACTTTTAGATTTTGTTACCCACGATTTGTTGGTGATGCTGGGGATGTTGGTCGGACATGCGGGGGATGTTGAAAACGATTGACGGGCTAGTGTAAAATACAGCAATTTCGCGAAAAAATGCTGTAAAATACAACATTTTCGTGGCCCTGACGAAAAAAGGAGAAAAAACATCCGCACCCATTTACAATAGGGCCAACTAAGCAAGCTGTGGTCGTGGACGCCAAAGTAACCGCTATAGATCAGAATATACCAGCGGAAGCAAAGGCTCACGCCATGGAAGCTTCGCAGAATCGGCGGGAGGTTGAAGAATATCATATGAAAAACGAGAGTCTAGAAAAAGCAAATGGCAAAGCTCCGTTGACAAGGAGAACATTATTTGGCATCGGTTTTTAAGAGAGAATGGCAAAAGCCTTGAAAAATGGGATTCGCAAAGGCAGGTTGCAGCATCATTGAATTTATGTTTGCGGTCCTTGCATTGCATTTGAGAACCTTCCGCGTTGGTTCCTTTGGTCGGCATTGATGTTGCCAATTGGGGAAATGCGTTTGTTTGCACGTGCCAAGGTGCACCGACAGCCCTCCTGTCAGACCATCGAAGATGGCCATCACAGGGAGCAGCATAGAGAGCAGTGCGAGCAGCACAGAGAGCCATGGCAGCCAAAGCGTTGCTTACGCCCACGCTTTGATATTGAAAGTGCAACACGTGCATGTCTGATTTGTACAGACGTTCTTTGACACCCAGCCTCCTAGAGTGTGTATGCACGTCCTTGAAATGGCTGGGGGTCAAAACCAATGGTACGATTTTGGGGTAGGTGCACCATCCATTTTAGTCTATTTTAGTGGGGATTGGGATGCTCACTGGGGGCACGGGATTTTGACCCATGCCCAAATGTGTGTTTGTGCTTTTATATTGCCTAGCAAATCTGCAAAGCCGAGTCAGCCTTCCCAATTGGCAGTTTGCCGGAGTTGACTAGTTTCGGCCTTTGGCATTTGCCAAGGACGCTCTCCTCCAAGCGAGTTTGCGGCTGAGAGAGGCTGAAGTTCGACTCCGGGAGCAGAACCTGGAGATGAGGGAGCGAGCGGTGAAGATGCAGCAGGACAGCGGGCTGTTCTGCACGGAAGGAAAGATGAGACACACCACAAGTGCTGCTGCGGCCCTGCGAATTCTTTAATTCCAAATTTGATTATGCTCAGACAAGAAGTAATGCAAGTCACACCGATTCCATGACTTGTTGGAGCGAGTGAGCTACTGATTAGGTAGTATTATGTGAGCGGCGCACAGCCAGTGTTGTAGTTTCTGTTTGTGACCTGCTGCTGCTACTGGGAGTAACGACTGGAGCTAGTTTCTTTTGCCTTCGCCCTGAAATCCACCCTCCCGTTTCCAACACAGCCACAGATGCTGCAGCTGCCAGAAGTGCCTTAAGACGATGCTGGCACAGCAGGGAGTTGTTCGAGGCATAGCCTGAGAGGAAGCATGGCAACTGCAGCGTGCAGGACGGGCCAATGCAGCCGCCACACACCTTGGGTCGAGGCGAGTCATGGCACAGCCTTGGCAGAGAAGTCTATGGAGCTTAAAGAGGTGGTGGTGTTCGTGCCAGATCTCAAACGGCACATGTTCGAAAGGACTTGTTGCGACAGAGTTCGATCATTTCTCGAGTCCAACTTGCCTTGGACATTGCATCCTTCGGAATCCTTCGGAATCCTTCGCATTGCGTCAAAGTATGCCTTTTGCCTTTTGGATGCTGGCGTCAAAGTTTGGTCACGTTCCCGTCGAGTCTTTCGGCCCAGGCTGCGAACGCTCTGCCTCGCCCCCGCAGCTTCAGGTGGGGCCATGGAGCAGTCAGTCTTGTACCAAGCCGGTGCCATATCCCGCTCAGCTTAATTTGCCATGTCAGCACATGACACAGTACAATGCAGTTGCTTCAATGCGCTTCATTGTTGCATAGCGGTGCCTGCCTTCTTTGGGCTTTAATGTGCTGAAGTGTAGACCCTTTCCAACAGCAGCTTCTGCTGCTAGCCAATCAAAACTGCGTCAAATTACTCAAAGCTTGCACTCTTTCTTAGACATACGCGTGTTTAATTTTGGACGCACATTTTTTCTTCTAATTACCTTGATGGAGAGCTTGTGATCGCTCTTGCACAACTTTGGCTGTGCCAGGGGCATTGCTCTTGCGCTGCAGTAGCCGAGCAGCATTGTGTCAGCTTGTCACCTGCGAAGGGAGTTGCTTTGGCATGTTGTCATTTTCGTCCATCTTTAATCCGCATGCGGTGATGGGAAGGCCGGCTGCAATTTCGATCGTGTCAACCATTGCTTCAGAAGTTTGAAGGCACTTGAAAGGCAGTAAAGATAGCAGCGCAGACGAAGCATGCGATGTGTATAGACAATGGCGCGCTTGCTGGCGATAAGGTTACTTCGCCGCCGCTGCCGCCGGGCCACCCGATGCGACAATCTTGCACCTCCACGCCTCTAAACCGAGGCCGGGTGAGACGATGTGTTCATTCCACGGAGGTTGCGATGGATGTGCCTGCGCTGAAACACGCGCCACACAGGCGCGCGTGCGCGTTCACACGAGAGATGGCGCTAGATGTTGGAAGCGCTGAGTCCTTCCCTGAATGGGCAACGATGGGAAAGCGCGATTGTTTGCATTGTGTCAAACTTGCCAAACGCTAGACTCGGCGCATGGGTCAACTGCTTGCAGGGACACGACGGAAGGGGGACGAGTCTGAATCATAGTATATTTTGCCGCTTCCATCCATAGGCTTTGCTGGCGAGCGTGATACTTCAGTCCAAGGACTAGCTTTGTTGGGTTCAATGGAGTTTGAGCTTTCAATGTTTCAATGGTGCAGAATCTGAATTGTTTTCGATGGCCGTTAAACAAAGGGCGACCCGTGTAGGATGTCTCGGTTGCCTGAGGCATGTCGAGGCCAGCGATGGTGTCCTCGCCTATGCAGCGCGGTGCAGATCCCAGGCGCCAGTAGCGTTTTCAGGTGTTCGACCCAGGAATCCAGCAACCGTAGATTGAGAAAGACATCCATCAAGAAATTATTTGAATTTTCAGAAATATGATGAAGGAATCTGAATGTAAAATAAAGAAGAAACATATTGTAAAATTAATATGTCGATTATGAATTAATAACTTTATCTTGGGCATGCTCATTCTCCACAATCCTACCTTAGAATCCAGACAAGGGAAACAGACCGTTCATTCGCTTGGTTACCCATGACTTCCACGAGTTTCTGTGACATCTCTTACCCCGAGCTTATAGGCCTTCCGATCCAGACCTAACAGATGATGGAGGCTGCGGAAGAGATGCAGGAAGAACCAAGCTACAGCTGCAATTGGGATACGACCCTTGATTTCTAGACCTCTCCACGCCCTGCCTATTTTATCATGCATTTCTGGATTGCATTGCATCTTACAGAAGGCCTATGGCCATGGTGGAAACGCCTCCATTATGAAGCATGTCTGCATGAGGATGCTCCTTGGATCTCTCTCCTTGGGGTCGCCATGTCCAGCCTGCAAGCTGCCAGCAAAATGCTTTATGCAAAATGTATCAGGGTGTTAGATGATTTATGACATTTATGATTTACAAGTTGCAAGCGTCCACTGCAATCACATTGACACCAGGGTCTCCGAAGCGAAGCCATGGATGCTAAGAAAAGCGAAGGGTGCTCAGGCCAGGTGCTGAGCAGAGACGAAGTGCGAGAGGGAAGGAGAACAAGGCAACTTGCCACGTTTTCAGCAACATGTGGACTGCGTTATTTGCACATGTTGACACATTCAAGGTCTGCATGACTATAATACTGCACTTAGTCTGTGAGCCAATTGGCGAGCTTGGGCTTGCGTCACAAATCAGTGAACATTGAACCAGACAACTGAGTCACGAGTATTGACTTACGCGTTTAAATAGCAACCAAGCGTTGACGATCGTTTTGATTCGCCAAGCATCAATCTGAATGCTCTCCGGGCGCAGGCGATATTGACCCTCCTGTTGGTTCCCTCCTGAACGAGACATTCCACTGGTCAGAGGTGGGATTGCCTCCGGTAGACCGATATGTGCTTACCTATTTGCCCACTTCGATGACTCCCAGCGACTTGGCAAGACTGTCAAAGATTTGCTGAAGCAGAGAGTAGGTGTGTCTTCCGGATCATAGAGCGAATTCCAGAATATCACTACTCGAGCGCATTCTGAGTCACCTATCTATATTTTTACATTTCTATTATCTATCTAACTGTCTAACTGTCTAACTAACTAATCTATCTAATCTATCTATCTATCTATCTATCTATCTATCTATCTATCTATCTATATCTATCTATCTATCTATCTATCTATCTATCTATCTATCTATCTATCTATCTATCTATCTATCTAATCTATCTATCTTATCTTATCTTATCTTATCTTATCTTATCTTATCTTATCTTATCCTATCTATCTAATCTATCTATCTATCTATCTATCTATCTATCTATCTATCTATCTATCTATCTATCTATCTATTTTTCTGTCTGTCTGTCTGTCTGTCTGTCTGTCTGTCTGTCTGTCTGTCTGTCTGTGTCTGTCTGTCTGTCTGTCTGTCTGTCTGTCTGTCTGTCTATCTATCTGTCTGTCTCTCTGTCTGTCTGTCTGTCTGTCTATCTATCTTTCTGTCTGTCTGTCTGTCTGTCTGTCTGTCTGTCTGTCTGTCTGTCTGTCTCTCTGTCTGTCTGTCAGTCTGTCTGTCTGTCTGTCTGTCTGTCTGTCTATCTATCTATCTCTCCATCTATCTAGCTTTCTCTCTCTCAATCTACCTATCTCATCTATCGATATCATCTATCTATCTCATCTATCTATCAACCTCTCTACGTATCTACATACCTATTTATCTAGCTATCTACCTAGCAATTTATTTGCCTATCCGCCCATTTACTTTCTAGCTAGTAAGTGCTGCACCTGTCACGAACTGCACATGGCCTTGCGAAAGTGATGCGCCTGTCACGCAATCTCATCTCACAAGAAGTGCGCTCGTCCGTGCCAACGTGCCCGCCGCGCCCATTCCGCACCCTTTCCGCGCCCGCGAAACACAGCGCCACAGGCAGTGCACCAGAGGTTGTTTGCGATTGCCCGTTCAGGGGCTTACTCTGAGCGCTTTTTGTCCCAAAGCGCTGCACCGTTCATGCAGTTTGAACATTTATTCACCTCTTCTCTGTGCATTTGTTTTCTTTTTGTCTTGTCTCTTTTCTTCTCCTTCACCTCAACTTTCTTTATCATTTTTAACTACATTTGTGCTGAAAGGTTGCGACCTACATTTGTGCTAAAAGGTTGCGACTTTTGAGCCAGTACTTCCTTTACGACGCGTGTACTGCAAAGTTGCGACTTTCGAGCCGGTGCTGCCGAAGTGGACTTCGCGCGCTACACTTGTACTGAAAAGTTGTGACAGTCGTGCCGGAGCTGCCAAAGTATACGTCCTTTACAATGCTTGTGCTGAAAGTTTCAATTTTCAGTGGTTGCGACTTCCAAGCCGGAGCTGCCAAAGTGTACTTCCTTTACTACACTTGTAGCGCAAAGTTGCGCCTTTTGAGCTGAACACCAAAACGCGCCACAAGCGCCAGGAGCGATGGGGATACAAAAAAATGAAACGTGCTACGCGATGTCCATTTCCTACGCAAGAGGTTGCGTAAGTTGCCACATGTGTTCAGTCCTGTTCTTTGGAGCATTAGTAGTTTTATGATTGTTTTGCAGCGATCACTTAGAATATGAGAACGAAGTCTAGGACAGTGAGTGTTCATTTGATGCTAATGTGAGTTGCAGCTGCATTCTTGGGAAACTGTTCTGGGATTCTTGGTCTGAGAGCGTTTGATGGCTTGTGACTCGTGACTTGGCAATCCGAGGGGAGCCAATGCCCGTGGTGTTGGTGTTCCATGGCTGGGGTGGCAGAGCTTTGTGGTACCATGAGAAAGCATCTTTTGGCAAGCTGGCGGAAAAGGCAGGTTTCATAGCTGTATATCCGCAAGGACTCGGTGATGTCGCAAAAGGAGCACCAGTGTCTTCCTGGAACACAGCAGGTACTTCAGGGTCCAACAAGACTGTGCAGGTCTGCGACCCACTCCAGACACACAATGGCCTATGCTACCAAAGCTGTAAAATCAGAAAGGGCGCATGCCATCCATGCGACTGGACGACATGTTACAATGACGTGTCCTTTATTTCTTATCTATTGGGGTCTATTGGCCGTAAGTATTGCGTGGATTTGGGCCGTATATATGCGTATGGCTGCTCCAACGGCGGGGTGTTTGCGCACCAGCTAGTCCGAAGCCTGCCGGGCCGGTTTGCTGCAATTGCCACCGGCTGTGGTGGTAAGCCTCACCAGGGCTTTGAGCGTGCCTTCACCCCAGGCGGGGACCCAGTGTCCATGCTGTTGCTGCAAGGCAACAAAGACCATACGATCCCAGCGCAGCCACCCCCCAGCGGAACCGGATGGTGGGACGGTTACTACTATGCCACAAACTACGAAGTCCTTAATGCTTACACAAGCTATGACGCTTGCCACAACTCCCAGACCCGGCCAATGGAAGTTCCTCCGGGAGTCACCGGCCAGGGTTTGCACTGCAGAGAGCACGGCTTCGACTGTGCCGGGGGTACCAGCGTCGCTCAATGCAGATTTCGAGGAGGTCATGACTTGGTGCTGGAAACCGGAGCAAATGATATTCCCGATGGTCCTGAAATGTCATGGTATTTTTTCTGTCGGCATTCCAGGGGCGCGCAGGTTGACGCAAGCAGTTGCCTTGTGCCACAGACACCCAGCCGCTTGTATGCGCATCCTAGCTTTGATTTGAGCAACAGGTTCTGGTTTAGATTCTAGATGCGTGTGCGGGTGTGTTGCAGATTTTTGTTTTCCCCTTCCCTTGTGCCTCAGGGCTGTCTCCTTTTCGGCATCCAGCACGCCCACGCTGCTCGCCCTGGTTTTGCTTTTGCCTTTATGCAGCGTGTTCGCATCGGTCAGACTCCGCAGGAGTGCTGCTCAGCGTTCTTGCGCAGCTAGCTAAGCGCAGAGGCACCTGATCCTCATTTGTGCTAGTTCGCCTTAACGGGCTAAGATGATGCAGCCAACCGCCTCAGGCTAAGATTGTGCATCACACCTTTATTTTTGTTGAGTAAATGTTCTCTGTCGTTAATACCTCGAGATGCCAAAGATGGCTGGAGTCACTGTGATTTGGTGCAAAGAAGCCAATCCTGAAAGAGAGGAGGCAGTGATTGTAGTGGTTGCTGGTTGGTTCACCGGCACCGCTTTGGGCAAGCCTTTCAGAATGTGACGAAAAAGATGGGCAAGTCAGCAGCTGGTGCGCACATGCAGTGCTTGCAAGTCGCCCCTGAACATCACATTGGCTGTGTTTTGCCTCATCTTATGTGCTTGCAAGCACTTGCGCTTCGATGGTGGTGCTTCCCTGTTGCTTCTTTCATCCCAATTTGTTTTTGAATCAGTCTGAACTGGTCAGCGCATCCTCGTCAAAATCTGGACAAATGACGCAGGGCATACCAATAGAGCAGACTAGACCTGAAGAACTGCCCACTCCTCAACAGAAGTATCATCATATGTCATGCCAGAGCAGTTGGATGGCCAACAGCTCGCAGACGGTACCCTTCCACGGCCATGTTGGAAATCAAGGAGTCGTTTGTGGCAATGCCAGGAGCCCTGCTTCGCCGGTGATGGAGGGCCGACCGATAGACAGTCGCTGGGCAGTCAACGCCCAGATGCGGGGCGGCATGCACACGCCATCGCCAGCCAGGCCCTCAGCTTTGAAAGGAAACCCGGTAGGACAGACAAGGCCACTTGTGGCTTTTGGTAACAGCACTCGCTGCAATTGTTTCCAATATTTTCCAATGGAGGATGGGTGTGATGTGATTCTAGCTCATTTGACACATCAGACAATTATTGAAGAGGTTTGATTATGCACGCACAACATCACTCCCTAGCATCATTCCTGCGTCAGTGCCGGTCCACTCGGGAACATGCAGTCCCTTTGTAGTGCTGAGAAGCTCATACATCTACCCCATCGTAGAATCCTCACCACCTGAGTAAATGGGACGTCGAGCAAGATTTCCAATCATGAAGTTTCAATGCTACGCTGCCCCGCGGTTTGACAGCTACTTCAGTCAGCAAAGTATTGTGGCAGTCCCGCCCTTTAGTACTGTATGGTGATATGGTGATCGTTGTCATTCTGCCGAGTTTGACGTTGTTGCTTTAACAATCAGCGCTCAAGGGCAGAAGTGTTCAAAGGTTCACGAATCTGTCAGCAACAATGGATTTGCCAATCCCGGCTTGCAGCTAACGCAGCTGCCTCCAGTCAGATCACGAGGATGCCTTTTTGCAAGTGACGAGGATGAGGCACCTGCCAACGCTCATTCCGACAGCTTTGCAATGAGTGAGTGTAGTGTTTCTCAGGTGCATTCGCATGTGCCGGCAGCTGCCTGGCGCAAAATCATGGTTGCTTTGCCGATCGACATGGAGTAATCACCCGCCAGATTTGCTGCTAATTGTGCAGTTCACATGCGGTCATGTTTGGATCGATGGATCAATGAATAGGATTGCTGCCTTCAGTACGGTGCCCCGCATTGACATATACGTTGTGCTTCTTGGGACAGCCACATATACAAGGGGTTGCTTTCCCAGATCATCTTTTGAGTTGTGTTTGAACGTTTCCCTGAGGTGCAGCAGAAGCGAATGTGACTGACTCCTTCCGCGCAGGGGACCAAAGGAGAGCAATGTATGGCATGCCCAAATTCATAATAGTTTAATCGAATTCCCAGCGTCTCGACCCTGCCAAAGTTGGCCTAATGTGGCGAAGGTGAGAGATGTTCTTAACAAGTGCATGCGATTCACTTGCTCACCTTGTGGAAGAGAGTGCTGAGCCAACGGCCCGGACACGCTTCTTGAGGCGGCGGAAGCTCACGGAGGACTCTGAGTAAGTCCATGCAAGCACATTGCGTACGTACCATGGAAACCAAATCTCAATTTTGCCTTTGCCACCTGCTTTCTAAAAGCTTGCAGAGAGATGCCGCATTGCATGGAGAACCATGTGATTGCCTGTGATTGATGTAAGCAGCGATCGCAAGCATGAAATGATGATAGAAAGTAGAAAGAGCTTTACCGCATTGTTCCATGTTTGCCACCCTGATGTGTGAGGGAACCGTATGGAATTGTCCTAAGCGTTTTACATATTTGAGGTCAGACAGAGGAAGAGCTAGTCTAAGCTCAACGTTGAAACGCCGTGCTTGCAAGAATGTGGCCGCCCAAAGCGTGCCAGTTGAGCTGTTGGCGGTTGAAATGCGGCTTGGCTAATTTTGTCCTTCGACTTGGCTCCAGGAGAAGCAAATGTGTGCAACCGAGCCAGAGGATTCCTTCCGCAAGCCGATCCCTAAGAGGCATCAGCATGCCAGGCTGTTTAGACTTGATGCCATGCACTGATATTATAACGCGAAGTAGCGGTGAGTGGTTATCACTGAGACTGGAACAGGGCTCAGTGGCAGCACGTTAGATTGGCGAATAGTCGCATGGCTCGCTCGTCAGAGAGTTTACAGCAGCTGAGGTGCTGCGGTGCTGCAGCCTTGGTATTTCCTCTTTCAGCGGTGCCAGAGTGCATCGGAATGTATAGAGCTTCGTGTAGGTTTTCTACCATTCCTTGCTGGGGTGAGGTAAATCAAACAACCGTCAGTAGGTTTTTGCATCGTGGGGTTGACAGCCTATGTGGCCTTCAAACAGTGTTCACAATGAACACTGCTGATGTGGGCGCACGTTGATCAACCGCAGTGTGAAAAGCGCAATGCACAAACTTTCTGGCTGCAGTGTTTGGACTTTGCTGCTCTTCCCAGCTGTTCCTAGCCAACACACCAAACACATGTGCTGATTTTGCCAGTGGGCCGCTCCTGAATGCAAGTTTTAGCCTTGGCAAACAAATACTGATTGAAAGCTGATAGGCGGCAACGTGCGTTTCTGAACATGGGAGTTTGATAGCAGCATCAGCTTGTGAGGGGACAAAGCGGTTTGTGGGCTTTGCCAGCGCCACCGGGTGATTGAACACTTTTGGTGCAAAACCGCACCTTGCAGACAAACCGCAGCCACGTAGGGTCAGACCCTCAAAGAGGGCAGCACTCCAGCTCAAATGTGTAAGCTCAAGCATGCCAAAAGAAACACAGACTCAAGATTCATGTGATGCAGCATGGACAGAAGTTGTTACTGTCGGCAAAGTGTTTGATTGCATTTGACTTTCCACTCGCCTGGCAGGGCGCCTTGGCTGAGCAAATTTCTTGTCACTGGGCAGACAGCCAGCGGTTGATGCGTTTGGCAGTGTGAACTAGGGTATTTCTTATTTTCAGCTGAGCGCCCAAAACCCCGAAAGGGCCGTGTTTGGAGGTGGTTCTGCCTTGTTTAGCTAGGGTCGTGACCCAGACTCGTCAGCTCGGGTTTGGGGCGTTGCTCAGTCGGTATACCTATTTGTACTTAGTCGAGTCGTACAAGCCATGGACTAAGGGTACCCTGGATGCAACCTGCCTGTACTGCGCATTGGTGTAAGTAGAACCTAGATGATGTCCTGCCAAGATCTATATTTGTGTTTGGCAGGTAACGATGTTGGAGTACGGGGAAACCAATTCGGAAACCACGGGTACACCCACCGGTAGCCCAATCTGTAGCCGGCTTCCAGGAATTAAACCTCAATGTTCGCTGTTTGAGTTGGACGTTTTTGGGGTTTGGACAATTCTAGGGGTGAACAAATCGACTTTTCTACTGAGAATATTGAGTGGGTGTGACTTTCTGGGTTGAATTTCGGCAACGAGCGTTCGCCCTTGAAGAGGGAATATCCTCCCATTTCATGAAAGTGCACGTTCGGCCCCTTCAAGACGATTTTGTTCCTACTTAGAAGGGGAGCCTAGAGGGCATATTCATCATTCTCGTTGAGTTGGACCGAACATTATGCCGTCAAGCCGAAGTCTAAGTCACCAAGTTCTTCACCTTTTGGGTGCCCTCGGTTTACTTGGATGTTGAACATACTAAGTATGTGCCATGGTCATATTTGAGGCAACCGAGGCTAGTTCCCTTGGGTAGAACCAACTTTGTGGATGAAGCAGAGTTGGCTCAATTGTTTGCGTGCCCAACGAACATGAGGGGAAAATAGAAAACCTTTCAGAACCCTGACAGAATTCTGTTGTTTGCGAACAGAAAAAGTCCTGGGCTTAAAAGGGGCTGGTCATGTTGTCAACAACCGACCCAGATACATTTTTGAGGGTACTCTTTTTGGCATTGATTCAGACGGGACTGACAAATACAGAAGGAAACCACCTGTTTGGAGCACTAGCCGAACAGATGCCAGCCATGGCAAGAGAGATTACGGTGCAACCTGCCTGTACCACCCATTATTATTTGTGTGTAACCACAGATTTTGAGGGTATTAGTATGCGCATTGGGGTCTGCCCAGATCTATATTTGTGTTTGGCCGGTAACGATGTTGGAGTACGGGGAAACCAATTCGGAAACTACGGGTGCACCCACCGGTAGCCCAATCTGTAGCCGGCTTCCCAGAATTAAACCTCCTGCCTAGTTGGACGCTTTTTAGGCTTGGGCAATGTTAGTGGTGGACAAATCGACTTGTCGGGGCCAACCCACTCAGGAAGTGAGATATGGGGGGGGGGGGGGAGTTGGAGAGTATCGCGTGGGGTGACTTTCTGGGTTGAATCTCGGCAACGAGCGTTCTCCCTTGAAGATGGAGTATCCTCCACCCTTTCATGAAAGTGCACGTTCGGCCCTTCAAGACGACGTTTGTGGGAGCCGAGCCTGTGCACTTTCATGTTGGGAGGCGCTTAATGATTTGGATTGGCGTACTTTATGCTGTCACGCTGGAGTCTAAACCACCCTGAAGCTCTCACCTTCTAAGTTCCCCCCTTTTACATACACTGTCAGGTGCTGCCATGGTCATGGTTCTGAAGCAACGGAGCTTAGTTCGCTTAGAACCAGCTTTGTGGGAAGAAACATCCCGTGAGAATGAAGCAGAGTTGGCTCAATTGCTGCGTGCCCAACAAACATGTCGGAACTCTGACGGAATTGTTTGCGCACCGAAGGAACTATGGCGAGGGAGATTGCCGTAAGACAGCTGTCTGGGGAGGAAGACTCATTCGTAGTGTCCACCCACACGACCATCCGTGAATTCAAGACGCAGCTGCACGTGTGGCTTCCCTGCGAAGATGAATCCAAGCGCAACATGAGCTCGGTGGAGTGGTTGTTGGAGACAAGCACCTATTGAACAAAAAGGAGCTAGTTTCACAGGCCATTCCAGGTGCAGAAGTCCTAGCTTTCCCCAACATCCAGCCGGTAGTGTGCTCAAGCTTCCAAGCCTCCGGCTGCGAATGCGATTGAGGATGATGCCTTCAAAGGCTGCAGCTCATTGGTAAGCGTGACCATTTCCAACTCCGTGACTGAGATTGGACACTGTGCCTTTGAAGGCTGCAGCTCATTGGCAAGCTTGACCATTCCCAACTCCGTGACTGACATTGGGCTTCATGCCTTTCATGGTTGCAGCTCATTGGCAAGCGTGACCATCCGTACTTCCGTGACTGTGACAAGATGTGGTGCCTTTGAAGGCTGTAGCTCATTGGCAAGCGTGACCATTCCCAACTCCGTGACTCAGGTAGGAGATGGTGTCTTTACAGAATGCAGCTCATTGGCAAGCGTGACAATTCCCAACTCCGTGAGGTCTATAGAAGAATATGCCTTTGAAGGCTGCAGCTCATTAGCAAGCGTGACCATCCCCAACTCCGTGAACGTTGTTGGAGATTGTGCCTTCAGAGGCTGCAGCTCATTGGCAAGTGTGACCATTCCCCACTCTGTGACTGAGATTGGAAACAGTGCCTTTAGAGGCTGCAGCTCATTGGCCAGCGAGATTGGAAACAGTGCCTTTAGAGGCTGCAGCTCATTAGCAAGCGTGACCATTCCTGAGTCTGTGACCGGGATTGGGAGATTTCGCCTTTGCAGGCTGCAGCTTATTGGCAAGCGTGACCATTCCCAACTCCGTGAGATATATAGGAGATCATGCCTTTGCAGGCTGCAGCTTATTGGCAAGCGTGACCATTCCCAACTCCAAGACTTATATCGGAGAACGAGCTTTTGAAGGCTGCACCTTCCTTTTGGAGTCAGATGGGACATGAAGACTTTTCTAGCTTCGAGTATGGCCACAATGTTGAAAAGCTAGTTTGGGTTTTCCCCAACCCCCAGTTTTAGAACATGCGATCCCCGGGTTCCCTAATTTTGAGAGTTATACACTCCTGTTGCAACGCGCTTGCTTGTGGATTTTGTACGCCTTGCTGTTTGCTGGTTGGCATGACCTGCGATCTTTGGAAAAGGCATGTTGGATTGATAGGCAGCCATGCTTGTTGTAGATGATGTGCCAGTGTGCGACAAATCAATCATGGGAGGCAACAACATGAGAGACCCCCGTGTCATGCTTGTGTGTGTGTGCGCGTGCGTGTGTCAAGCTGTATTGCCCGCTAGGCACCCCAGCCTCCTGCTTGCATTAATTCCAGTTCACCTGCTAGTACCCATAATATCCATCCTTGTGGATTCCGTTGCATGGCCCGCATGCCTTGCTGTGCGATTGAGACTATGAAAGATACTGCTGCCTTATCAGCAATCCTCGGCACGTCTGAGTTTCCAGTGTCATTGTGTGTTCAGCGCAAAACCGTTACAAAGGACGTGCGGCAACCTTGTTCTGAGCTGGGGAAACGATAAAAAGCACGATGCTTCTCGCTCTTATTTGTGTTTGTGCTGAAGTCCTGAATCCAATGTAGCTGAGTTTAAGGTGAAGTCAGCACACTTCGGATTGTGGCACACGTAGAGTCAAGCCACGCTGCAAGGCACGTAGCCAAATGCATGCACTGCCGTATTTACAATATTTTCACATGTCAAGGTCATGCCGAAGCCCGTCTATGCAACTGCAGATGAGCTCGCCGATGCAGTGAAGAAATTGGAGGGCCAGGTGCGCAGGACTAGCTTGTGGTAAGCTTGGCCGGCTTGGTGGCTTCGGTGGCTTCGGTGGCTTCGGTGGCTTCGGTGGATGGGTTGGGTTGGTGGTCGGGTGGCTGGTTGGCACGGGTGGAGAAGGGCAACATTTTGGGAGGCAATGGAAGGGCGAGCAAAAGCAGGGCTTAATCGAGCCATTGACAAGACCTGTGTGCTTGCGCTTGCGGTATGACTTCTTTGAATATGAAAGAGCTCATCAAGCATTGGCACCTGCAAGCATTTGCAAGCACCGCTGGCCCAGTTGAAAGCCACTGAAGCCAAGCTCGGCGCTGCTCTGAAGCTGCTTGCCATGCAAACAATGAAAGCTCTGAAGCGCCAGTGGGAATTCAGCACCTTTTGTCTTGCAAGTTGAAACGTGTTGTTGATGGGAATTGTATGCTTAGGCCAGGTCGTTCGGGATGCCCCAAGATCCGATGTTTGTTCCAGGTGGCTCTTGAGTCATTCGTGGAGTCTCTGCGAGCATGGAGTGACCAGGTTTTCTGACCTGTTGCGAAAAGGGGGGAAGATGTGAACGAGAGAGAGAAAGAAAGTATAAAAACAGGAGCTGCCACTGCCGTGGCCAGTGGCCGGAATTTCCTTGGATCCCATACATAACATGTCGTTGAATTCCCGCGATGAGCCAAGGCAAGCAGAGAACGGGCTGAAAGGAGAGCTGGGCAAGGCTCGGCCTGGGTGTTTTAAGATCGAACAGCCTAACGCCGTTGGGGAGCGAATATGCAGGGCTTGGAATCACTGCTAACCTGAATTTCTTTAGCCGCTCTACAATAGTTCCTTTGGCTGAACAGTATATTTGCTGGGAGTACCATGTATACCATGTTGTTTGGACCTCCTGATGGCATAGTGGAGAGAAGCAGCAGCCCAGTTTGTGACCAAAGCAGCGATGTGAACAAGCTTGGCCTTTGCAGGTCAGTGAGACGGTCACCAACAACGCGACAGTGGCCCAAGAGGGCACACAGCGCTGTGGTGCAGACTCTAAAGGCTACACGGATGACAGGCGTGGACATGTTGTGTGGGATTTAGGTGAGAGAAGCAGCACCGACTCATTGAATCCCAGGCAAAGGACGCTAATTGCGTGTTCTGGAGAAATGCAGAAATTAAATCCTAAGCAAGGCAGTTTCGCGGGTTTGTCCCAGTACCTTATGCACAGGCTGCAGCAATTTCGCGCTGAGCTGACGGGCCTGGTGAAAAGCACCGAGGAGAGCCTGACACAGGCCCGTTGGCGCAATTGACCTTGAAGGAGAAAGGGAGCAATAATGGCTTCTTCATTGACAATGAACATGGGGACTCGGGAAGACTATGTGGATGGGATGGCATCACGCATAATGTGCAGAGGGTGAGAATTTCTAGCACGAAGCCCTGTCCTCCTTAGGACTGGTTTGAGCAATTCACGCCATGTGCAGTGGCACTCACTCACATTGTCATGCTCCAGGCTGACACGAACCTCAGCCAAAAGATGGACCAGGTCGACACTGACGTACGGCACCTCGCTGCAAACACAGACATTATTGCTTCTGCCAATCCAAACAGGTCATTAAGTGTTTTCACACCGACTCGGCTCCAATAAAAGTTTGCAAGAGGCCGCTGCTGATGAGCCCTGCATTCGAGGAAAGCATTGGCAGATGAGCTTGCTGCCTTGTGTGAGCGCATCGACAAGGAGTTTACCTCTACTCGCGCTGAGTCTTGGCTGCAGCCTAGATACCCGCATGGACAGCCGCGGAGAAGACCATCGTCACCAGTGATTGGACGTCAGGATCAACTTTGACGCAAACTGACCACGATAAAGAGGAGGGTGCACATGAGCTAGAAAAGTCCATCGCAGCCAAGGACATGACCAAATTTGCAGAGACAAAGTCACAAGAGGCACTTGGGTCTCAGTTTAGTTGGCTACACGTTCACGAGCTTCACTGAAGCCCTGGCCAGGGCAAAGAGAAGCTCCAGGATCAGCGAGATGAGCTGGACCGAGCCATGGCGACTGCAGCTCAGGAGGCATCGGTCGGAGTAGCCGCAATCGCTCGCCGTGAGAATGTCGTGTTTTTGTTAATTCAAAAAACAACTACGCAAATAGAGCTTAGGTTGATACAACCGCACTCCATTGTTGTCTTTTTCTAGCAGTGCGTTTGCAGAGCCCGCGGGAGGCCAAGCAAGCTAGATGGCATTACGTGATGTTAAATGAACCCACAACACAGTTCAAGCATTAACCCCCTTGCTAGGTGTAGTTTGTTGCGTGGATTGTCGAGCTGCTGGACAGGCGCAAGCAAACATGGACAAGCTGCAGGCAGCTGTGGAGAAGACATTGAAGGACACTTCACAGATGGCGTCAGTCTCTTCTGTGGGGCGAGGAAATGAGACTGGTGTGAGCTAGCGAGGTTGACGGCCTGTGGGACCCGGTTGCAATTAAGCAATGGCAGGACACTGATGAAGCTCATCAAAAGGCTCAAGCAGAGCGTGATGAGAAGACCCAGCGTTCGGATAGCGAGATTTGGCACCGCCGGCGCGCTTCGTAGGAAAACAAGACTAGCAAGACCGCAAATATAACACTCTCAAACGAGTTGCTTTTCCTACGCTTTTCGCAGGCTGAAGTTGGACCGATTGAGCGAGTTGCTACAGGAGCTTGTGGCCCGCAGTTTCCAGCGCAAGCCATATTGGGGTTGTAATCTTGTGCCGGGTGCATGATCATCTCATGCAGCTGGCTGCAGGAGCTGACTGACAGCACCACCAACGCAACGGACAATTTGCGTCAGAGGCTTTGCTGGTTGAGAATGCTGCTGGTTTGCTTTGGTTTGGAAAGGGGCTCTTTGCCCCATTGTTATTCTTGCCGAGGTGAGGAGGCCAACAGTAGTCTTTCCGACTTCAGGAACGAAGCGTGCCTTTCTCGGGCTTCTGGGTAAGTACTGCAGTAGGAGCCGATTGTCATTTCGCTTGGTCTTGCGTTGAGCACTCCAAGGACTGGACGGCTGGATGGCTTGGATGAGGCCTCGCCAGACATTTCCGGAGAATGTTCGTGAACTACAACTCCTGTTCTAGGGGAATGTCAAAGCTTGCACATAGAGGAAACAAGCTAATCCTTTTGTGACAACGAGATATGCACAGACTGAACTTGCAGGAGAACCTGAAGATGAAAACAGCTCTCATGGAAGTCGAGAACATTGCCACCCGACGGGTGGTGCTGCACTTAACATCACTCACGATGGCAAAAGTGAACTTTGTGTGAAGCGTGTGGCAATTGTTAGATGTACAGGCTGCCGCAGCTTGCTGTGGTACTGGTCATGCTTTGCTTGCTGCTTGCTTCAAACAGCGTAGTTTCTCCCGATGGCTGAGCGCCCAGGATTGGGTCATTAAAGATGCCTCCAGGCGCCTGCGCGCCCGCCTCAGTAAGCGCTCGGCATTTAAGTTCCCCATATAGATGTACATGCATGTATGATATTATGTATATATACACACACCGTTTGAGGCCATTTGCCATGATTTCTGTTACTCGTGCTGTTAACAATGAATCAATTGCAGCAATTTCAGGACCATGGTCTTGAACACGCAATTGACTTGCTGGTAGCATTGCCAACCATATTTCCCTCCCATTGTTCATGCCGCGGGTTCCCTCCCTTTGCTTGATGGTTGCAGCGCGGGCTTCCCGCCATCAGGCGCGTGCAGCTTTGAACCCGATTCCGAGGTCCCAACAGCGCCTCCAAGGCGAGTCTCCACACCAGCTGGCTGCGAGCTCAGGGAACATTTTTGCCCCGGATTGGGCTCATCGGACTCATCGGGCACCTTGAGCTCCGGCGCCGGCCGGCAGCAGCGCACGCCCTGTGGACAAGGTTTCCTCATCCTTGCCCCGCAAAAGCCAGATTCTCCCCCCCCACGGAGACGGGCAAGGGTAGGGGTAGTGTCAAGCACGCCAGTTTGTATTGATAGAGACCGGAAACCGCTGCCTTCACATTTCGTGTTGCCCACGTGCTTGCCGGCGAGGTTCTCTCCCAAGTTTGACATGGCAGGTGTGCCGCGTTGGCTGGGATGATTTGAGCCCAGAGCCGGTGGCTTTTCAATGTGCACCTTGCGGGACAACTGCACGTCGCATGGCTGTTTTCATTAAAGTTTGATGCCGGAATTGTTCGGCCGTTTGCAGTATAACACGGAAAAAGACAGTTGCAAGTACAGGATGGCGTTGATGTCGGCTTAAAGTCAATATGTGTGTGCCAATATAGAGCCAAAGGGCGGCAGTCAGATCTCTCAATACACAAAACAAAAGACTTGTGCAGCATGGTGCTTGTACTATTGCAAGTCCACAGCACGCACAGCAGCACCGACTGACATGCCAGCTCATTCTTTGAAGGTTTGGCGTAGATGGTGTGTGTGTGTGTGTGTTTTGTGAGGCTGTCCATTTTGGGGTTGTTTTCAAGGCAAAGCAAAGGGAACTCTGAGACATTTTTGGGCCCAACTAGCAGCTTTGTCAATTCAATTCCTTGCACAATGGAGAAGGGTCCCTGTTGTTTTCCTTTCACACCTTGCGGGGCCATGCCAGGTGTGCATGGTTTGCAGCTGGAGCTGCAGCTTTTCAGGCCAGGGAAAGCAACATGAACGCGCACGGGGGTGTGGGGGGGTGTGTGGTGGGGGGGGGTTACCACAAACTCATTGCGGGTAGTGGGCTTCAACAGCAGCTATGCAGCTGTCCCATGGCTTCGGGGGATCATTTGCGATTCGGAGACTCTTTCATGCTGCAAAGCTGCTCAAGCATCGGCTCTCCTGTCCCACTGTGTGAGAAGACAAGCCATGGGCTTTCTTGCTTATGGGAAGATGGATTATGGCTCCTGCAAAAATGATCTCGGAGGTCAATGGTGTGTTACAGAGAAGGTGCACGGTGCAAATTTCTCTGTCCACATCGACCAAAATGGCAAGATGCGCTGTGCAAAGAGAAAGGGATATTTGGCTGAGCATGAGGATTTCTTCGGACATTTTGCAATGTTGCAGCTCAGCTGGAAAGTGAGCAGCCAGGTTGGTCACCGGAGATAGCTTGTTCTGATATTATGGGCCTTCTGCCGCCTTCTGGGTCTGAGGGTGGCTTTGGATGTTGCATGTTGAGGAAACACACAAGCATTGACATATTGAACGGAGTAATCACTGAGGTGCCAGCGCTGATCAATCATCATGCAAACAAAGCGGCTGCGGCCCTCCACTGTACCAAGGATCAGGCTGCGCCATCAGCTGATGGCCCTTGCACGAGAGATTCTGGCACCTGGAGTGGAGTCTCTGACCATTTTCGGGGAGCTTTGCGGAGGCAGATATCCACACCCCGAGGTGGGGTGCTTCAAAACTGCCCAGCCAGAGCCTTTCACTTCGCAAGGCTTGTGCTCACATGTTTCTTTCGGGGATTTGGTTGAAACAATGATGATTCTCAGTGGTTTGGGCCCCAGACCCAATTGTTAAGATTTCTCAAGGGCTGCCCGTGACTGAGGGCATTGCACATATTGTCTCATACATGTGCGTTGACAGAATCTTCCCCCTGACAGGTGAAGGAGCTTCCATACACGCGCCCAGTGCAGACTGGGGTTTGGTATAGTCCCAGCATTGAGTTTCTCATGTTTGACATAACACTCTGCAAGTCAAGCGGTGGCTTCTCCTTCCTGCCCTTCAATCAGGTGGCCTGACTACCACAGTGATGCTTTGCGCTGGAGCTTGTTCCATGCATTTTGGAGTGATTTAGTTCTGGCTGTTGTGCAGAAGGGACTTGTTGGTGTGAGTCATTGACAAATTGAGGTGACAGAACTCGCTCAGAAGCACGGCTTGCCTGTGGTACCGTTGATCTTTGTGGGCTCTCGAGGGCAATGTGCAACGCATGATCCCAAGTTCTTGTCAAAGGTGCCAGGGGTGCTGGGCTTCCCCGACATCAGCGACAACTTTGCCGAGGGCATTGTGGTGAAACCTTGGGATCAGAGCACTCCCGCGGAGGATAGACCCATATTCAAAATCAAGACAAAAGAGTTCGCGGAGGGTGGAGGCTGTGTTCCGCCCGCTGGCGACCCTTTCATGCGCGAATACTTGCTGTCACAGGTCAATGAAAACCGCCTTGCATCAGCTGCAAGCAAAGTGGGCGCTGCCTCCGATAGAGGCAACTGGCAAAAGATTCTTGGAAGCAAGATGGGATCAAGTGGTCATGGTTAACAAGCTTGGAGCTGAGTTCTGTGTAAGGATCATTGACCTTGTCATTGACGACATCCGCGATGATGTGGGAGGTGCACCAAGTATGTGTGTTGTAGCCTGGACACCGGCGATTTTTCAGACATTTGCTGTTTAGCTTTGCTGCGAGCAGTTTTTGTGCAGGCGAAGATGAGACGTTCTTTGCCATGGAGAATCAGCTACGATGTGCATCCATGGACTTACTCTGCGAGCAGCCTAGTGCTTTCTGAGATTCACTTGTGAGCTTGTGGAGTGCATCGCTTTGGCGGTCTACAAGTCCTTCAGTGTGCATGAGGGGCGCACCCTCATTTCCACCGAGACAGTCGCTGCATTTTTCCTTGACAAAGCAAGAATCTGCAACCTTTGTTGGCATGTGCAAACGTGGAGTGTACAGTGTACAGCAGCCTGTGTTCAGTTTGATGCATGCGTGCTCGCGTGGAGACGGCTGGGGTAAAAAATGTGTGCCACAGGGCCACAGCTGGTCACCAGCCTGTTGAAGCGAGGAAGCATTAAATTTATATTAGGATATATAGGTGGCGGTGGAAGCGCTGGAGCGCCTGTTTTTATGTCAGTGCCCATTTCTGTTGGTTGGCCATTTTAGATGATGTTTTGTATCGGGCATTGTGAAGGTGCACCGAAGCTATTGGGCCATTCCCTGCAGGCCGTCAGATTGGGGAGCTTGCGACTTACAGGGTCCAATCTTGGCCCCAGTTTCAGACAGCCGTGCTGTGGAAGCACATAGTTATCTCCATAC